TAATAAAAGTATTTATTAAATCAACCAGTTATATTAATCCATTTGACTGGTCCAACCGATTAAACCAAATCTAGTGGTCAAAACAAGTCAGTCACTGAATTATATTTTAAAGGTTAATTCTTTAATTTGGTTCTTAAATTATTATACGGATTTATGATTCGGTGTTTAAATTAAAAAATCCTCAATTTGGTCCCTAAACTATTGTATAGATCCCGATTTGATCCATGCTGTTTACCAATTTACCTTAAGTTGGTCATTTTGCATAAAAAACAACTGATGTGTTTCATTATTAACGTGATACATGACCGTTATGTTACTGATTTTTACCATTAAATAACGGGTTAATTCAATTTTTAGTCTATTAACTATCACATTGATTTCATTTTAGTTTAGAAACTATGTTTTATTTCTAAGTGGTCTATTAACTTTCAGATTTATTTCAATTTCGTCTACCTGGTTATCTTTGACGGAAAAGTTACTATTCTGTAAGAGAATAGTTAATCCTTTAACTATATTTGTTTTGATCTTTTAGTCCTCAAATTTATATTTGCTGTAAAAACAGTTTTTATACTTAAAATTATTATTTCTATATTCTGATACCAGATTTTTATTCAGGTTTTCAGAACTTAATTCAGATTACTACTAACTAATGAATAACTGATAATATTTTAAAAATAGAAACAATTAATGAAAATACCCTAAGAAGAATTAAAGAAATGAGAAAAACCTGAATAAAAATTCGGTATCAGAGTCTAGAAATAATAATTTTAAGTATAAAAGTTGTTTTTATAGTAAATATAAATTTGAGGACTAAAAGATCAAAATAAATGTAGTTAGAGGACTAACTGTTCTCTAACAGAATAGTAACTTTTTCGTCAAAGATAACCAGGTAGATGAAATTGAAATGAATCTGAAAGTTAATAGACCACTTAGAAATAAAATATAGTTTCTAGACTAAAATGAAATCAAGGTGATAGTTAATAGACTAAAAATTGAATTAAGCCATTAAATAACAGACAGATCAACTATTTTTCTACAAAAGGATAAATTTGTGGCTAAATTAGTAAATAGTATGATCAAATTAAGGGTTTGTGTAATAGCTCAAAGATTAAATCAGAGATTTTTTTAGTTTAGAGACCAAATCAAAGATCCATACAATAATTCAGGGACTAAGTTAAGGTTTTAACCTATTTTAAAACATTGTATCCCCAGTATAATTAATATTAGACACCTTTAATCTACTCTCAATATTAAACAGCACAATCTCTGTCAATGCTGCGTCTTGGATGAGAACCTACTAGCAGCAAACACCAGCTGTTATTTTGCCTATTCTTTTCTTTTGGGTAATAAACCAGTACCAGGTTTCACTCCCCCGCTGCAAGTCATTAATTTTCATGTGTATTTTTGGGTAATTCATAACTGCTGATGGTGAAATTTTCTGACTTTCGATGAAGATTGATTAATTTTCTCTTATAGGTAGAGGTAGTATTACTTAATTAATCACATTAATTAACAAATAACAGACACATGGCCCCTTGTACATATCAGAACTTGAATATATAATTTGATGGTGAAGTCAATTACGGTATTGTGTTGTCCTATAGTTCTAGAATATTAATTTAAATTTATAAAAGTATATAAAAATAATTAAAAATTAAAAATTAATATTTTTGAATAAAATGGTGTGCGAAAGAAATTTGAGCAAAACCTTGTCATAGTCTCAAACTAAGTAATAATTATTGGAATGGGTCAAGATATATTTATGAGAACTTGAATAAGTAGTTTTAATGGTAATGTCCCAAGTTTTCATTGTTAGTTGTTGTATCGTCTATCATGTTATATTATAGTTATAGAATATATTAATTAAAAGTAATAAAAATTAATAAAAATTAAGTAAAATTAATTAAAAATTATCTAACTTATTATTTCTTAAATAAGATATTGTGTGAAAAAAAATTTATACAAAATATTATCATACGAAAGCCTCAAACTAAATAACAATACTAATAATTGTTGGAATAGTCAAGATATATTTATCATGGTGGAAAAATATGTTTGGAAGGTGTTTATCTATTGCAGCCTTGATTTTTCCCTTGACTTTATGCAAATAAGTTTGAAAAAGGATATCTCAAATTAGAATTTATTCTTAA